ACTAATATACACATGTTTCTTCTCTGTCGTATAACATTGAAACAAGCTGTTGATATCAATAATAAAAAAGGATTTATATTTGTATATGTGTGTATGTGTGTGTATGTGTGTGTGTGTGCGTGTGTGTGTGGCGTGTCTTAAATTTTATTTCCGTCTCAAACAATCCTCACTCGTCTGATTTTATGAATCTTTTAATCATCGTTTTATCGAACATAAAACTTATTTAACACTAATAAATCGACTATGTATATATGTATTTATGTGTTTGTGTGTGTGTGTGTGTTTGTGTGTGTGTGTATTTGAGTGCGCGTGTGTCTGTCAGTATGTGTGTGTACATACGTTTTAAAATATGTATTCATCTGTCTTGAATTTATAACCAACGTATTTAATGTTACATCTTTGCTACATTAGATGTTATTGTTATTATTAATTATTTATTAAATTTAAATAAAAAAAATATTTTGAAAAAATAAAGAATTTGAATCCTTGATAAAATGCTGACAGAAAGCAGGCGAGTATGATGAAGATTCTAAACGCTCTAAAAATTGTACAATAATTTCACATCAACTTTTTGAATCTCAATAATTTTTGAAATTTTATTTTAATCATAATAAATAAAAACTCATTGGCTGGTCCACAATTTCAAAGTTTTTGGTTAGAAGGGCCTAGGGTTCTAAAACTGCCCTTGATTGAAGGGGTATTGGTTGAAGGGGTATATAGTCGCCCTTGGTTCAAGCGGCCTCTACCTCAAATGGCCTCTCATCATTGATTCTCAATATTTACGGACTTATTATAACAACAACACTGATGGCAATGACGCTGCTAACAAATTATAATTATAATAAACACAATAATAACAATAGCAACATAAATAATAATAATAATAATGACAATGATAATAATAATAATAATAATAACTGACCTCACGGCTGGTCAGAACATTTGTTGGCGTTGGGGGCGAGTTGAATGAGGTTAACCAGCCAGTGTGTCTTTCTTGATTAATCAATTTCCAGCATATTATCGTCAACAACACACACACACACACAATCATACACACACAAACACACAGACACAAACACACAGACACAAACACACACAAATAGCATGTGATGGAGGAGGATCTCTTTCCATTCAAACCTGCCCCCTCCTAGATCCAGTCCAATCATAAAATTTAAGCTGTTCGTTTGTCAGAAAAATTGAAATATAGATACACACCTATAGTTAAGTAGCCACAGGGTTTAACAACTGAACAAGAAATTAAAATCGAAATGGAGAATCAATTTACATTAAATTGGCTGCCGGGAAGGACAAAGTTGATTCCTTCACTCATAGGAAGTTGTAACTGCACGGTAAAAGTTTTTTTAATTGCGAAATAAAAAAATTTTGAAACTTCTTTATTTAGTTAAATAATTAAAAGGTAGGGAATGGTAGTGTTGGCAAAATATAAGACATGGTGAGTATTATCTGTTGATGTGTTTTTAATCCTCGAATGGAATGACATGGCCGCCGAAGTTTAGCATTTGTTTCGTAAGTTATTAATAACGTTGAATTAATTACAACACTTTTATTATTTTTATTCATAATCATTTAATATTTATTCGCATTTATTTTATAATTATTTTAAAATAGTTTACCATAAAAATCATTAGAAACTAATCCAACCTACCAACTTGTGCAAGTTCGAAGAGTTCAAACCGGTAAAACGTTTGAAGAATTGGCGATGAAAACTAAAGAAATTAGAAGAAAAGATTGTGATTCGTATAAACTTCACAATTCTCGAAAGTATAATTAAAAATTAATGAGAAATCGATTGTTTGAAGATAATTGAGCCATCAAGCATCTCAACTCCAGCACTGCCTGTAAAACAGACATGAAATCAATTTTTAGAATAAATTAAAATTCATTTGGTAAGACTTTCATCGAATGATCTTTTTCATCTATATGGGGTATATGTAGGGAACTATGGGGCTGAAGTCTTGCAACAATTTGGGGGCTATAAAGACTCAAATAGGGAAGCAACCATAAAACCTCTAGTCCAGAATGAATATTTGGTCAGGGTTTAAGTTAGGTGATGAGAATCTTTTTTCAAAAAGTGAAATAACCAGTAAAAAACATCTACTAAGCGTAAGACTCATTAATTTTATAAGTTTCTATGTCCAACCATTGACACGACTTATATTTAAATTTAATACAAGGCATTAACAGAAACAAAAAATCATACAGATTGAAACTAAAACCAAATACTGAATTTAAAAATGTGTAAAATGAAGACATCCTAGCTGATAAATTTATGCCTGTGTGTCGAAAGACGGCAGAAGTAGGGGATAGTTGTTCTGTGTGGTATTATTAATATGTATTGGGAGTGTAGGATTTTATGTTTTAGTTTTGTAAAGATTGATTAACTAGACATTTTGTTTGTGTGTGTGAGTGAGTGTTTGGTTGTTTGTGTGTGTGTGTGTGCGTGCGTGTGTGTGTGCGTGTGTGCGTGCGTGTGTGTGTGTGAATGATCTATACGTAGGTTTATGAAAGTGACGAATTACATAAATATGCAAGCAATGACTATGTTGAAAAAGTAAAAAGGTTCGTCTCATACATTCATAGAAACATATACAAAAACACACGCACATATAAACGAAATAAATCAAACAAACACGCACACACATTTACATACAAACATCCAAACAAACAAACATCCAAACAAACAAACATCCAAACAAACATACAAACAAACAAACATACAAACATACAAACAAACATACAAACGCACATAATTTGAAACAATCTAAAAAATTTCTTCTGGCCTTTTTTTTAAAGCGTAATAGTTTAACTCATTCATGTTGCACCATAAAAAGAGTAAATATTTAATTGTAATTGGAAGGGGTAATCTACAAACAAACATACAGATATACAAACATACATGCATACATACATACATATATTCACACACACATACACTCGAATACAAACGAGCAGTTCATTCATTCCTCTGGCCATCTATTTAGTTCCAATTGTTCTACTGTTAAAACCTTTCTCTCTAACTTACCTTACTTTCATGACAATCTATCTCTCTTTCATTCTCTCTCTCTTTATCTTTCTCTCGCTTTCTTCCTTTCTGTCAATATCATTTTCTTCTCTTTCTCCTTCTCTCTCTTTCTCTCTCTCTTTCTCTCTCTCTTTTGACATTACCCCTTTCCTTTTT